GTTTTTACATGAGTTAGCCGTCAAAATCAATGTCTATCTATATTATACTTATAGTGTGAGAAAGAAAATATTTTTTTTACTTATATTATATTTTATTATTATTAATATTATTATAATAATAATATTTTTGTTACATTAATATATAATAATTGTACATACCTTGTATAAGTTTATTGTATTTTTTAAGAAGGAGAAACTGCTGAATATCTAAAATGAAAAGAATATTTTTTTCATTATTTTTACAGAAGAAGTTTATTAAAAACAATTTATACTAAATAGATTATAGCACAAAAATTTAGATAAATTTAGATATAAATTATTGATTCATGCATAATTTTAAAGGATCTTTCAACGAACCTCCATCAACATATCTGATGGCATCAGATAAGTACAAATATGAAGTTGAGATATTCAAGAGTTAATAAACCAACAATACGAATGACTCAAGAAATTAAAATCTATTTGCTGTTGGTAAAGTTATAAAAAATAGTAAAGAGTTAGATATAAATAACTTTTCTTCGAAACTTTCCAAACCTACTAAATGATGATAGTAATACTAAGTCTAAAACCGAAGCTGATACAGAATTTTTAATCGTTGACGTTAAAATAAACAATTTGCTTGTCGATTATAATAAAGTCAAAAGAGCTTTAACAAACTGCAGGAACCGACAGTTTACCGGCTAAGCTATTGAAAGCTGGTGGCGAAGAACTGTCTAAATTGGTTTAAAATATTTCAATTTACTAGATACCATTATACAAAAAAGGCATTTCTATAAATCAAAATTATGCTAGAAATTCATAATGAATTTAAAACTCAATTGTTGTTCAATATTATTTTATGTTAATTTAATAAAATTTAATTTAGGCCAGTTGGTTAAACAGCGCTGATTCAAAGCAACAAATTTGGTAGGGAAATAATATAGGAATTATTTTCAAGACCATTGATGTTGGGTATTTGACCATACTCGAAACAGCTGTATGATCAGCCAAAAATTCAATTAATTAATAAAATAAAAAAAATAACTTTTGTTGTCGTAGTTCACTACTGTTCGAAAAAACATGATTAAGAATATAATAGGATAGATATTTCTAAAAGTTGAAGCCCTTTCTCCATAACCCAGTTTCCCTAATGTACGACCTTGCTTTCTGGCTTAGGTAAATCTAGCTCACTAGGTACTAAGTCTCTTTTTTTACCTCTTTCGCCTGATTACTGGAATGAAGTTTTCACAATGCTATGGAAATCTTTTACAATTATTCCTAGGAGGTGGTTTAGTGAGTTCAAGTCTCAGACGGTTGCTTTCGATTCATTTTGTGGAGATAATTAATTTATATAAATATTCAATTATTAAAATGAAAAATTTTTTATTCATTTAATTTTTTTTTCTTTTATTAAGAATTTAAAGCAATAATTAAAATATTTTTAATTTTAATCATACTTAAATTTTAATTTAAAAAAAAAAAAAATATATATATACATATATATAATACCATTTTATTTTAATGTAATTATAAACTTGTGAAGGATCTTAAAAAAGATATTGAAAAATAATTTACATTTCTCCCTATCACACAAGTTTTTGGATTGTTTAATCATTCGTTCCACCGAGAATCTTTTAGCAAATTCAGCGCCATTTGCAATTTAATTGAACTCATTTTGATTCTTTGCTAACGAATTAATCTAAATTTTTGAAAAGTTCATGAAAAATTAATTTAATTTTATTTTTTTTTTGTCCTTCACAATTCACAATCTTCTTCTTATACATGCTGCTTCTGCTTTATCTCAAACTTCAACCTTTTTTTTATTTTTTCATTATAGATGAATCGGAAACTTAATTTTCTTCTCTGTTACGGTTTCAATTTTGTTTCAATTTTTATATAACAAACCATTGGTCTCTGCTATTGTGTTTGTTGTTGTTGTAATTGTTGTAATGTTTGTTGTTGTATCCTTTGCTGTTGATTATTAGAAGAAGCTCGTGTACACAAATCACGAAGAATTTTCCATTTCGCTTCTGTTCAGTTATCCCAATTAAATCTTAAGTTCAATTACATCTGCTCATATTTCCCTTTTCAATAGAATTATTTTGTTAAAATTATTGACATTTTAAATGAAAATGAAAATAAAAACGGAAACGGAAATACAATTAACAAATGAAAATGAAAATGTGAAGAGTTTTCACTACATTTTTCTTATTCTTTTCATGTTTTATGCATTATGTTTTTATTTATTTATTTTTTTTTCTGTTTATAATAATTTATGTTGCGTTTTTTTTTTAATTTTCTTGTACGTTGTTTTGTTGTGTTTTATCTAAGCGCAGCACAAAAAAACACTGAGAAAAATTTCCTATACGCCTTCGTCAATACAAAAGAACGAGGAAATACGCACAGACACAACAACAAAAAAGTAAACCGAAAACTTCAACTACAATTAAGCGCACGCGAATGTATTTTAAGTGTTCTGCTAACAACAACAACAACTACTACTACTACAACTACTACAAACTCAGCTGCAATAAGAACAATAATGAGAAGAATAATAACAACAACAACAGCAGCTACAATAACAGCTACAATAAGGCTTGATGCGCATATCAACAACAACAAGAACGACACAACACAACATAACACAGCAACAGCAATAACAACAAAAGCAACAACAACAACAACAAGAGTAAATAACTTTAGTAATGTTTCTGCTTTGAGTGTTGCTGTTTTCGTTATTAATTGTTTAATTGAAATGAATTGAATGGAAACATTGAATTAATACTGAATTCGTTGAGGCAAGGACATTCAAACAATAGCTTTATAAATATCCTGTTTGTAGCTTTATTTCGGCATCACCATCGACCATCGTATGCCATGAACGACTTAATCACCAAGGAAAACAAACGATACGATTTGATGATTGTGGTTTGCAGTGTTGCTTGATCCAAACACAACATTAAAAACAACAAGCAAATGGAATTTTCAAATAAATTGCCAGAAAGGAATGGGCAGCAAAAAGTAAGAGTCCTTGATATTAAAATTGAAATGGTATTAAAATTATTTACCAAAAGAAATTTGCAAATATTAAATTTTTTAATTATCAAATCAAAATTTAAATAAAAGTTCGATGAATTCTATGTATTTCACGAATATCTATACTAAATTTTTTTTTTTTTATTATAAAAATATTTAATGGAATTAAAGCAATTCTATGAATTCTTTATATATCTAAATAGTTATTAAATTTTTTTTTTGTTTTAATAAAAAATTATATGACAAACTTTATGATATTCTATGAATTCTATGAATATCAAAGATTCCTTGATATTAAAATTGAAATGGTATTAAAATTATTTACCAAAAGAAACTTGCAAATATTAAATTTTTTAATCATAAAATCGAAATTTAAATAAAAAACATAATAGCTTGATGAATTCTATCAACTCTACGAACATCTATACTGAAATTTTTTTTTATTATTAAAATATTTAATGGAATTTGAGCAATTCTATGAAATCCTTATAAGATTAAATAGTTTTTAATTTTTTTTTTGTATTTATAAAAAATTATATGATAAAGTTTATGAATTCTCCGAAAATCTATATTGAAATTTTTTTTTATTATTAAAATATTTAATGGAATTTGAGCAATTCTATGAATTCTTTATATGACAAAATAGTTTTTAAATTTTTTTTGTATTTATAAAAAATTATTCGATAAAATTTGTGATATTCTATGAATTCTACGTATATCTATAAAATTTTTTTTTTTTGTTACAAATTATTATTATTATTATTCTATGAATTTTTTATATATTTATATAGTTTCTAATTTTTTTTTTTAATTTATAAAAAATTACTTGAAAAATTTGTGATATTCTATGAATTCTATGAATATCTATAACAAATTTTTTATATTTTGTTTTTGTTTTTAAAAATTATTTAATGGAATTTTTAGGCAGTGCGTTCAGTTAAGTAAACCTGATCATTTTGAGGGTTTAATTTTTTTCATCAGAGAACATAATGTTTAAAAAATTTTTGTTTTTGTTGCTTTGGTATAAGATCTTATGCCTTTTGGGACTTATAAGACTTTACCCTGAGCTCATTTTGGAATATGAGTAGGATATTTCGCTGGAATAGTTTTAGTACTTTGGTCATTTGATTATTACTACGACGTGCATTTCGTTTAAGTTAAGTCTTCACTTTAAAGCATTGGACCCTTGGCGATACTGTCTATACTATTATAACGATTTGTGGTATGATACACAAACATTTTATTCACTTTGAGTAGTTTGAGCTCACGAACAATAGCTGGTTGTGATTTTTCAGCTATATATAGTGTAATCACACTATTACGTTTGAATTTCATTTTGAATAACTTTGTTCCATGCGAATAACTTTTGTTCTATAAAACTTAGACGCAAATGACTGTGGTAAAATTTTTGAAATTCTATAACTCCAATGAATATCTGAATGAATTTTTTAATTTTTCATCTTAGTTTGTAAGATTATATTTGATGGAATTTTTACGATTCTATGCATTCTATGATAATCTTTATTGATTTTTCAACTTTTTTGTTTTTAAAAAGCTAATTCATAGAATTTGTGCAATTCTATGTATTCTAAGACTATTAATATGAATTTATTAATTTGATATCTTTTATTTATGCATTTTAAACAATTATCGGAAGTATAGTATCTGGTATAAACTACCTAATAATGTACCTAATAATGATTATTACTTTAACTACTTAGAGAGTTAAAAAGCTTAGTAACCTTTGATAAATTCAAAAATAAACTACAGTTCAAGAAGAAAAAAAAATTTTTTATTAATAGTAAAACTAAATTTCAAAGTTTGAATTTCTCAGATAATAGAGTTTTCCGACGACACTCCATTTGAGAGTGTGTTCAAAATTTTTAGTACACAAAAACTTAACAAATTAAAGTACGTTTCTTGGGTTCCCTCAAATTTAAAGTTACATGTGATTCAATACGAAGTTTAGAACTGCAATAGCCAATATGGAAAAAGAATTAAATGACGAGCATCTTGTATTACTGAAGGTCCTGTTCCTTCAATTCGATGAGGAGTGCAATGATAAATTGCCGGCAGGAATCTTCGCAAGAGCTGTACACATGGCCTTTAATAGCATTGGTGAATTGATCACGTTGGCTCAAGCCCAGGCTATTACGGAGCAGTATAACGATGGCACTGGTTACTATAGTTTTGATAAATTTGTTACCATTTTAACTGGTAAAATGGTGCAAATTTACACAAGGCCAGAAATGCTTAAACTATTTCGAGTTATGGACAAGGAACACAAAGGCTTCATAACCGTTGAGGAAATGCGTCAAAAATTTGGTGATCGTTTGACAGAAGATGAAATTCAATGTGCTGTTCGCTGTGGTGATGGAATTCTTACCTTTGAAGCTTTCTACACTCTAATGAATCCATTTAAAAATTAACGAATTGGAAACTAAAGGTCTTCATGACTATCATTTGGGTAGTCATTAATCGTCAAATACAATTTTGCCAAATTTGAACACATTACACTTAATTTCCACAACAAATTAAAGAAACAACTGCAATAGCCATAACAGGTTATTAAAATAAAGAGTATATTTTTTTTATTATATTAATTACTATTCTTTATTATTTATTAACATTTTATTTTACTTATTTAATTATTATTCAATAGGTGTAAAGTTTTCATAAAAGCTTGTTTAAATATTTTATTTAAGTTTGGGAAACAAAGTTTTGCTTTTTGTGGCGACGATTCCGTCTTCAAAATAGTTTGCCCAACTTAATAACATATCAATAGTTAGTATATGGACTAAAACACTGCATTTTCAGAGAGACTTACTTCTACGGAACTGTTTTTATATTACTTTGAGTTGGATGTCTTTTATATTGACATTTCAAGTCGTGTTCTGTTAATATTCGATTTATGTCCAGACTATTTTTTAACCGCATTTTGTTTTTGTGTCTGTCCTATAAATAGCCTAGCCTATATGTTAAATAGCCACATTATTTTTGGGATTAATTGGTCTAATCCGGACTTTTTTATTGTTAACTGTTACTGGTTATAGTCTTAACTGTTGCTAGTTATAGTGTTAACTGTTGCTAGTTATAGTGTTAACTGCTACTAGTTACTATGTTGACTGTTACTAGTTATAGTGTTGACTGTTATTAGTTATAGCGTTTACTTGTTCTAGTTATAGTGTAAACTGTTACTAGTTATAGTGTAAACTGTTACTAGTTATAGTGTAAACTGTTACTAGTTATAGTGTAAACTGTTATTAGTTTTTGGATTAACTGTTACTAGTTATAGTGTTGATTCTTACTAGTTATAGTGTTAATTCTTACTAGTTATAGTGTAAACTGTTATTAGTTTTAGTGTTGATTGTTACTGAGCATAGTGTTAACTGTTACTAGTTATTGTGTTAATTATAAGTAGTTAAAGTGTTTACTACAAGAAATTGTTATATAGTTTTAAATAAAATTAGTTGTATTGTTAACTACGACATGTTATAATGCTAATTGACTCGATACCCTAACTGACTCGTGTTAGGTTGGTTCACGTTCACTTGAATGGAAGGCGTCGTGCCTATCAGTGTTATCTGTACACTAATTGTTGCGGTCGCCAATGTATTTGGACCATTATTTAAGGCCAAGTGGGGTTTAGTGTGCACAATGCTAATACTCCAACCTAAGCTAACCTGTGGAGACTCTAATATAGTTGCTTAGTGTTTCCAAGCGAAAAGTTCATTAAATCTGATATAAAAATTTGATGGAATTTTTTCAAATTTTATTTCAAAATCAACCAGTACTTATTTTTATCTGTTTTCGAAAAAATATATATGAAACAAAACATTTATTTTCGTAAATTTGGTGCACTTTTTTTTCGTAAATTTAATTTATCTGTAATAAATTGAATATGAATACATTTTATCTGGCAAAAAATCAACTGAAATTAATTTAATAAATTTTATTTTGGTTGCAATTTGGACCGCTTGATAGGGTATTAATAATAAATAAACAAACCGAGCAACTGCAGACTAAAAAAAAGTTTTTAATTAAAAACTATAATTAATGTTTAGAAAATCAGTGCCAATGGCAAGTAAAAATAGAGAAGGAATTAACATATAAAATGTTTAGAATCTGACAAAAGCACCTGAAGCCATTTCCATAAAAAATAGAAAACTCGAAATGCTGAATAAAATGTGATGAGAAATGTAATTAATTATTGGCTTCGTGCTGAAAGTGAGTTAAATTGAAACGATTGCTCTAGATTTGCTTAATTAAGCGCATTATGATAACTTAATTAAGTACGAATTTGAATTAAATTAGCATGGCCAGTGCAAAGCGTTTTCATTTTCTATACTTACAGGATTTTTTATTCACAAATGCATTTATGCTTGAGTCCTCATTTGAGTTGTATTTGTTATAACTAAACTAACTTAAAGCGACCTCAATTGCAATTAAACTTCAAGCATTGGCTTTGCTTATCGAAACAGAGAGCTAATATGGAGAATGTTGTTGAAGTTAGTTACTAACATCTACTATTACAAAGTTATAGATTGAATAGATTCCTACCTATGTATGCAGTTTCGATTAAGATTCAAGAATTTTTTTGATTAAACTCGTTATTAATTTTAGCTATGAAATGTATGAAACTTTTGATTCATATCAATATTCACATATAAATATTACATATTTATTTTAAGTATTACTGACATAAATTTTTTAAATGAAAAACACATGAAAGAAATTTAATTAGAATTTGTAATAAATTCTGATAGTAAAAAGTCACTAATTCAATGAAATTTATTGATATCTCCAACGTTAAAGATGCTCCGAATGATTGTTGCCCATAAATTAATAATATATTAATTATACTTTTTATATTCAATTAAAATTAAAAAAATATAATCAAATCAATTTCAGGATGACAATACTCGATTTCAGGATTAAGTTCAAATCTCAGCGAAACTGATGCAACCTTACATCCGACAGAACTATCCAGTCGTTTTAGGATTAACATACATAATTGTGTTAATAATTCCTCAGAGAGATATGATAGGTTCATCAGACCCTATGAGACTAGTTCCAAAAAGATACAAAGCTGTTTTTTCTATTTCTTATTCCTATATAGTCTTTATACGTATCATTACAGGGTTAGAATTGTTAAACAAATGTGTCGAATATGCATGTCGGACACAGTTTTTGAATAATTTGGGGCGTATATTTTTAATGTCCGTTTTAAGAGTAGTCAAAAGTTAGAAAAAGACCAATTCGTTGTTACAATTTTCCGGGAAAGTCCATTTAAAAACAGATTAATGTAGAGTTAGCTGTTTTGAGTGTCATTTGGCGACCCTTTAATTCTCCGCGTACCTAGTGGTACCTATTGTGGGATCAACTTGATACTTTTTCTTATTGTTTTTTGATAATACCAAAACATTTTTAAGTCGGACGTCTTAAGAACTAAACTATATTAATATATTGTTCATTAGAATTGTTTTTTTTTTTAGTATAATCCATTGTAAAGTCGGCATGCTTAGAATATTGGAATCGTGCCGAGCTAAATTATATTATATTCATACAATTCAATAACCGCTAGGCAATAAAATTATTTATTCTTACTTTTTAAAAACAAAGTCTATTATGTTAGATGCATATAATTTTTTGTGTTAATTTTAACAATAACTTACAGTCACTCATGAATCAATTCATTCCTGGCAATACATTAAATGAAACAAAGTCTAGTAATAGACATCATGCCAATTTGTTTGTTAAATCCAATTTGAGAATCGTAATCGTACAATGGGCTGCTCATGTAGTAAGAATGACACTGGAGACAAAGACGAACAGCATATACAACACAAAGCCGATGACAAACAGTCCAAGAACAAAATCGAATAAAAACGTGTATGCTGATGCAAAAAAGATTGGAGTACTGAACTGGAAGAGAGTAGCAAAAGATCGGGACAGATAGAGAGAGATCGTGAGAAAAGAAAAAGAAAGGGCGAATCGCACTTACAGATAGGTCCATTGATTTTAGCAAACTAAAATGAAACTAAAACACTCTACACATATCATGCATATAAGGTATGGTTCATAGTTACATATTGACGTCTTGATACCTAACTAAGTAAACCAATATTTTCTTATTAATCTTCAAAATAAGTAGACATAATACATAGATCTTTTAATTTCCAGCAATACCAGATGGAGCTAACCCGCCATGTAGGCATCAACTAGAATATCATTACTTCTCCCCTAAATTTAAAAACTGGTCTAAACATAGATCTCTTGATGCTTAGTACTATTACGGCTAGTTAATCGCCTAAGCTTCATTTGAGATGTCAATGCTTTTTTGTTAATCCTTGTAATTGTTTATAGTCACACGTGAATCCAATTGATCTTTAGCAATATCAGATAGAATTACACCTCAATGAACTCTTTATGTAACATATGTTGCCAATCCATGTTGTATTAGTCCAACAAATAATTCGTAGCCAATCATAATCATTAGTATTTACTATCACCAGCTGGAATTAAATCTTCTTGTAGGTATAAAGTAGGAATCCACTATTGTTTTCGTGAATCTAAAAAGAATACGTGTTAGAGCTAACTTTTCCTGGGTATATTAAGTATGATAAAATTGTTTCTTTTGTGAATTTAAGAAATGATTCGTACACTCAGGAATATAAATTGGTTGATTTAACCAGATTTTTATTAAATCTCAGTTTAAAATATTCTTACTCAACGCATCATGTTATTTCATCTTTACCATACGAACTAAATTTTTCTAACAAAACGAAATTTTTCTGAGTGTACCCTTACATTGATCTATTGATGCATAGTAATACTAGATGGAGCTAATAATCAATTTAAGAAGTAATTCATATCCGACAGAGTCTTATTAAGAACTAGCAGTACCATATGCAGATCTTTGCTGTAGGTATCAAGTAGAATACTAATGTTTTTTTATGAATCTAAGAAGTGATTTATAACCACACATGGAGCCATTGATACCTAATAACAATACCTTAACATTTTCTTTTTTGTGAACCTATGAAGTGCTGGAGACGGAATTTTGAGGCGAAATCTCTAAGCATTTGTTAGTGTTTTTTAAGCGTGTTTTCATAAATTAAATAAAATTTAATTAATTTTACAATAAAATTTAAATTACAATATATTTTTGATGATTTTTTTTTTTTGATAATTTTATTAATTTTGTTTAATTTTTGCCTGTAATTGGTAAACATTAAAAATTAAATTGGTCATTATTTTATCACAATTTAATGGAAAGGTTACCGCAGTGCTCTTTTAAGCATACACTGCGAGCCCCAATTTCATGACACCATTCCGGTACGTGGTGGTGGCTCAGTTAACCTGGACCTGAATGTCATTTGCCTTTTCTCATTATTTACATTTAATTTACGAAGCGCAGCGCAACGCG